GCTAGCGACCCCAGCCCGAGCGAGCGCTGAGCGGCGAGCGCGGCCCCTGGTGCTGCGCGGGCCCGGCGCGCCCATGGCGGCCATCCGCAAGAAGCTGGTGGTGGTGGGCGACGGCGCGTGCGGCAAGACGTGCCTGCTGATCGTGTTCAGCAAGGACGAGTTTCCTGAGGTGTACGTGCCCACCGTCTTCGAGAACTATGTGGCCGACATCGAGGTGGACGGCAAGCAGGTGGAGCTGGCGCTGTGGGACACGGCGGGCCAGGAGGACTACGACCGCCTGCGGCCGCTCTCCTACCCCGACACCGACGTCATCCTCATGTGCTTCTCGGTGGACAGCCCGGACTCCCTGGAGAACATCCCCGAGAAATGGGTGCCCGAGGTGAAGCACTTCTGCCCCAACGTGCCCATCATCCTGGTGGCCAACAAGAAAGACCTGCGCAGCGACGAGCACGTCCGCACCGAGCTGGCGCGCATGAAGCAGGAGCCCGTGCGCACGGACGACGGCCGCGCCATGGCCGTGCGCATCCAAGCTTACGACTACCTCGAGTGCTCGGCCAAGACCAAGGAGGGCGTGCGCGAGGTCTTCGAGACGGCCACGCGCGCCGCGCTGCAGAAGCGCTACGGCTCCCAAAACGGCTGCATCAACTGCTGCAAGGTGCTATGAGGCCGTGCCGCCCCGCCTGCCCTGCCCCGCGGCTCCCCCTCCGGCCCGGCGCCACGAGCCCGGGGAAGGGGAGACCCACGCCCCGGGGCCACCGCCGCACTGCCTGGCATCAGTTGGCGGCTCCGGCTGTCGCACCAAGGACTAGCGTGGGCGTCGGCGCCCCCTTCCCAGTGTCTGCGTGCACTGTGTTGCACGGGCCCGGGCGTCCCGCCGAGTGCCAAGGGGTTCCCGAGCATCCTTTCTGAAGAGCCAGGCCTCAGAGTGTGTGGCTGCGTGTGTGTTCGACTTCTCCCGCCCCATTTTTTACCCCACCTCCGCCTCTGGTCTCAGGGGCACGCGGGGCGCCGGCGGGTGGCCGCGCCCCATCCGATGTCGCCTGTAGCCGGCAAGCGCGTGCTGTCCCTTGTCTGTAACATAGACCTCGGGAACTGCGGGAGGGAGGGCTGGGGAGGACGGGAGGGTGTTATATAAATACAGATATAATTTTATTTTCGGAGGTAAAACTGGGTTTAATGGTGGTGGCAGCGAGTGGAGTGACCAGAGTGCCACGAAAGCTCCGGCCCAGGCTGGATCAGGCGCCCATCCAAGCATGGACTGGACTTGGCCATCTTTCTGACCCCTGGGTTAGACATTCGCAACTGACCTGGGGTGAGGACGCGGCTCCTGCGAGCAGCCCCCAGCGAACCCTTCACCTGCCAGCCACCTGCAGGCGCTGCCGGGTTGATTTTGCCATAGCGAACTTTGTGCCTGTCCTACAAGTGGAAATTCTTCGGTCTAAGAAATTGTTACTTGATTTATTTAAAGGCTGAACTTTTTGTTGTTGAAAGAATTCTTTGCACAATTGTTTCATTATTTGACACTTAATGCACTTGTCATTTGCATAAGACAGTAGCATTCTGACCACACTTGTATGCTGTAACCTCATCTACTTCTGATGTCTTTTTTAAAAAACAATGATGACTTTTAAAACAAAGAGAGGGAAAAAACCCACTGATACTTGCTTTGTTTTCTTGGGAAAAAGGGGAGCGACACTGTTTTGTGATTTTATTGTGCAGGTTGTGCACACTTTGGGTAAAGGAAGGTAACAAGTATTGGGGTCTATTTAAAACTTTTTTCTCAAGGCAGTCTCTAGAGCTTTGTGAAATTTTCTCTGCATCTTTGTACAGAGAGTAAACCTACCCGTTTTCTTTTTCCCCTCCCCTCCCAGCCCAGTGGTACTTCTACTAAATTGTTGTCTTGTTTTGTTATTTTTTAAATAAACTGACAAATGACAAAGTGATGAGCTTATGATGTTTACATAAAAGTTCTATAAGCTGTGTATACAGTTTTTTATGTAAAATATTAAAAGACTATGATGATGACATTTATAAACGGCTCCTGTGGTCTAACTAAAAACTCGTGAATTTGGGACAAAAGGAAAATTCTAGATAAGACCCTTTCTTGGCAGCACCCTCATTTCCTCTATATTGAATGCAATACACCCTGGAAGGGAGTCCATGGGGGTCAGGTGACTGATGGAGATTGGTGCTTCTTGTCACATTCCCTGGGGAAGATAACTGGGTGACTTAGACACCCAGAGCAAAAGACCTTAGCTCTAATTATTAGAGACTCAGTCCAATTAGGGGAAGCCAAAGATCTTGGTTGTATTTCATCTGTATGTCTTAGAAACACTATCCTAAGTCTGTTCTAGGGATTTGTTTCTTTGGAACTTGAAAAGTTACCATTTGTGCATCTGAAATTTGGATTGTGCCTTTTTAGACAGGCTGGTCACCGGGTGGTCTCAGGTTTGGGGGATGGAAAATAGCCAGGAGATGCAGGTGGTGGAGCTGGAGCTGCTGAGTGGAAGTGGGAGAGTTCAAATAAAAAGCTGATTGCTTTATTATTTAACTTTTGATCTGAATATGTCTCTAGCAGGAACCTAGAATGCTTTATTCTAAGGACAAAGGGGACCTTATAGGACAGAACGACGGTGGGTGTTTTAGGTGGTAGCCCCATTTAGAGATTCACTCATGAGCACTTGTAGCCTCAGACACAGCCTCCTCAGTGGTCCTCAGGCCTACACAGGCTGATTTGTACCTGGCAACCATGTTAAACCAGCTGCAGGCAGGACGGCTCAAACCTGCTGACTCCCAGAAGCTTCTAGGGAGAGGAGTGCCAGAGTTTCTCACCTACCCCAGAAGTGTGCTTTTTGTCATGTGAATCTGCACTCTGGGTTTCAAGCACTTAGTAGCTCCCTCCCCCTCCCTCCACCCAGGGCCAATGGCAGGGGAGGTGTCCTTTGAAGTCCTCTGCTTCAAAGCTGAGCCTTCTGTTTGCTGATCTTCTTGGACTCTGAAGAGCTTTTGTGAGTGAAGAAAACCAGGTTGAAGGCGACCTTTCCCCCACTTAAACATGTATTAACAGGCTTGGCACTCAGCTGGGCTGGTGCCTGGCCCTGCGACGGGGGGATTGTCTGGGAAGGGCAGGGTCCCTCTGGGCCAGGCTGCTCTGAACGCTGCCTTACTCTTTCCTGGCTGCTTGGTTCCCCTCACCTATTTCTTTTTCACTTTAGAGACGAAACTCATTGCAAACAGTGTTTACTTGCAGTGCTCAGAGCTAGAAAATCCCTTAGTACCAGGGCATGCAGGACTCTGGGAAGAGCTCAGGCTTAGGCTGAGTGCCTGGGCCTCAACACTGCCACCAGCCAGGGCCTGGAGACAGGACCTCTTCCGAGGACCCTCTCTCCGGGCTCCAATCTGCTGGTATCTAGACATGTCTGTTCCTTATATTTTGGGGAGACAGCTACCCGGATGGTGAATAGCAGCCTGAGTTATGCTTGTTTTAAAATGCATGGCATTTAATAATCCTGCCAGAACACCCTCTTCTTGCTGCATTGGGATTCCACGGGAAAATATAGGTGAATTGCTGTGGGCTGGAAAATCAATTAGGAAAAAGAGGTGAAACATCTGGTGTTACTCTTATGATATGAAAATTCATTTTACACATTTAAAATAAATGTGTCGAGTTCATTTAATCGCCTGTTCAACTGTTTCATGGAAAATAGTGGGTGTGTCATTGATCCTAGGGGTTTTAAAGCAAGTGGCACCATTCTGGGTTCTTTAATCTTACTTTTAAATCAGTCTGGATTGTATTTCTAAGGTCTTTTTCACATGTGTTTTAGTAGACTTAGAAGAGTTTTTTTTTTAAACTTAAGTGTGATCAGAATCATATGGAGGGTGGGTTCAAACACAGATTGCTGGTCCTAGCCCCAGAGTTTCTCATGCCTTGGATTTGAGAACTGGCATTTCTAACAGTGATGCTGATGGAGCTACTTTGGGGGGTTACACTCTGACAACTACTGATTTGAATCAGAGAGTCTCTTTGTCAATAGAGGGAGGCAGTTTCTATGTTAAAGTAGATCCAATTCTCCAGGTATCTGGTGTGCCCTGCACAACTTTCTTAATCCAGGAGAATGGAGCTTCCCTCTAGCTTTCCTTCTGCGATAAACTTCTGACTTCTCTTTCCTGCACTCTTGTACAAAAGGGGTTGAAAGCGCTTCTAGAGGTTTATTTCTGCCCTTCCTGAATCCAGAATGCAATAGTGCTCTGTAACTCATGCAGTGCCTGCTCCATCAGTTCAGATGAGAAGGAGATATGGAAGCAGTGTGATCCAGTCCTTGCCCTCCCAGCCAGTTCACAGCCTGGTAGGCAGGCATTGGCAGGGGTGGCCTCCCCTAGGACCCTCTGATGGAGGTACATACCAGGAAAGGGGAGGGCAGGTGCCCGAGGTGGAAGAGCCTCATTTGCCTGGCACATTGGGGAAGGTGTCACGGCAAAGGAGGCATTTGAGCTGTCTTAAATGGGTGATGTGTGGATGGAAGAACTCTTGGGGGAGTGAAGGGGTGGGCAACTGGACCATTAACACATTGATGGTATGTATAGTTTCTCTTTATTATGGTGGGGCCTCCCCTCTTTGGGGTGAGAACTACTTTCTACTTTTGTCCCCTCTGGCATACAGTTCTTCAATCAAGAAAAATGATATTATGCAGTCAAGCAAAGCAAAGCACAGCCCCTCTTCTTCTTCCCATCCACAGCCCTGGGTGCACCTACCTGGAAGGGCAGGAGAGAAGGTGGCTGATGGCAGTTTCTTTGCTTTCTCCATGTCTTGCGTGCAGACACATGGCAGACTTTGTGGTATTTGCCTTGGTGGTACTTCTGGGAAACACCCTGAGCCCGAAGAAGCTCTGAGTTCACAAAGGATTCTTGTAACCCCAGCATGTGGGGTCCCTATTATTTTCCTTCATCTATTTCTGGTTGGAGGCCCGAGAACCTGGGCCCTCAAGCTGCCCCTCCAACACTCAGTAGCCTCTTTTCTGGCCTAGGACGTAAGAGCCTGGGGGAGCATATTTCATGTCTTCTGTTTATTCTCCTGGTCATTAAGTATTTATTATTGACTAGGAGACTCTAGGCCCATTACTCTACTAGGAGCTGGGGATACAGTAGACAAACAGGTATCATCTCTTCCCTTATAGACTTTTCAGTCTATGAGTGCAGCTACACAGTAATAGTGGTGATGATGGTAGCCAAGATTGATTGACTATGCACAAAACAGTGTTCTAAGCTCTTTTTCTGTGTTATTTTATTTAATCTTTACAGAGTTATCTACCATTGCATAGAAAACTATCCCTAAACTCGGTGGCTTGGAACAGTATTTATTACCAGTTTCTGAAAATCAATCTTCTGGCTCAGGGCTTCTCATAATGCTGCACCTAAGGGTTGGTTGGGGGTTGGGTTTATCTCAAGGTCCCTGGAGGGACCTGCTCCTAAGCCCACTGACATAGCTGCAGGCAAGAGTCAGCTCCTGGCTGGCTGAGGCCACCCTCAGTTCCCTGCCACATGGGTGTCTCTAGAGGGCTGCTCATCCTATGGCAGCTGACTTCATCAGAGCAAATGCGGGAAAGGGCCAGAGAGAGCTGGGCAATGTGGAAGCCCCTGTGTTCTATAACCCACTCAAGGAGTGATATCCCCTTACTTTTGCTGAATTCTAGTTATTAGAAGCAAGTGATTAGGTCCAGCCGCACTCTGGAAGAGATTATGCACAAGCAGGATATGGGGGGAGGGCGGCTAATTGGAAGCTATTTTGGGAGCAGCTAATCAAAACTCACAATAAGTCTTGGGTAAGTTTATTCTCCTCATTTTACTGATAAAGAAATGGAGCCACAGGGCAGGTAAACTACTCGCTCATGGTCACAAAAGTCCTACAAATTTGAATGTAGACAGCCTGATTCCAGGACAATGATCTTGTATCTATATTGGGATTATAATTTGAGAAGGATCACCCTAACTTGCAGGTTGGGGCATGTGTTGGGATTGGTAGACCAGAGGCAGGGAGATCTGTGGGGAGGACTTTCCTCTGATTGGATAGGGACAGAGAGCCCAGACTAATGTTTGGACGTGAGGAGAAAGGACTAGCCTGAAAAGACATTTAGGAGACAGAAGGCATGAAAATCTGAGTGGGGGACACCGTGGTGACCGCTGGCACTCTGGCCTGCATAACTTTGAGGATACTGATGCCAGTTAAGACAAGAATAAAGAAATATGTGCAGATTGGGTGAAGGGCACCAGAAGGACATACAGAGTTTGGTGTTATACATACTGAATGCTGAGTATCTTTGGAAATGCTCACTGTCCTCAACCACCTATACTATAATCTGTATATTTTCTGTACAGCATTAGACTGTTGTGTCTGTTCAGGTCATGCATTAAAGGTGGGTACTAGAAGTCACCCCTGAAGGGAAGAGACTTTATCATACCAATGTTTCTAAGAAGTGAGTCCTAGATTAGGAACTGTAGTCTTAGAGTGGACTTTAAGTAGCAGGAAAGGGTGTTCCATTTGTATAGATGTGCGTGGCTCAGTGGTGATGGGGGTGGAAGGGGGAGGGGAGGCAACTTCTCTCTACCATCCCAGGAGGGCTAGGAAGGCCAGTGGAGAAACCATGCCCAACCACAGGTTACACTGCTAGAAATCAGTTCTATCTTTTTGGAACATTTAATAAATCCTTGTTAAGTTTTCTGGCCTGGCTTTGGCACTGCTTTGGGGACGTAAGGGAAGAAAGTTGTCCATGTTGAAAGAGGTAGGAAAGGGAAGCGGCAAGGATATTGATTCAACTGTAAGTCAGGATGCCTCTGAGACATTGGCCCAATTGGATAAATTTCCAGGTTGTCTTAGGGAGACAGGCCCCCTTGGGGTACAGGTGGTAACTGAAGCCTTGGAGAAGGGGTGTGATGATCTGGGAAGAGTAATGAGTGAGAGGAGATGGATCATAAGCTCCATGACAAGAGTAGGCACCATGTCTGCTTAATTGCTGGGGTGGGCTTAATGCCCCATA